TCTTTGCTTCACTGGAGGGCAAAAAGTGAGGGTGAGTGGACTGAACTCTCCCTGGTCTCTGCCCTTGCTCCTCTGAACTGTGCAGAGCAGCAGGAAGGCTTGCTCCACCTCTGGTGTCGGGCTGTAGAGTGACAGTGGACAAATAAATAGCTGCACACGAATAGCACACATGAATAGTTGCACTTTATTTCAGGGCATCCCCCAGTAGCGGCAGGAATTAGTCGTTACAAACATTAGGTCACAAATGGAATACCAAGCGGTGACATAGTGCAGTGATCTTCACATGTTAGTGACCAGAGCAGCGCTCGCGGGCAGTTCCTATGATGGTGGTGAAGGTTGTGGGTAGAAACTATCTCAAACACAGATTAAAAAAAGTGTTCCGTTCTTTGAATTACTTCTGGCAATGTGGGGGAAGGGGGAGAAGAAGGGACCCAGATCCCTTTCTGGGTCTCTTGAGTGCTCCAGAAGAGCTCACGTCTGCACATAAGATGCATTTCATGGGGGTGAGGCCAGTACTTCCTCAAGTAAGCCTTTGTATCTGAGGGAAAGTATAGCCAAATACCCAAATCTATTCTCCTCTCCAGAAAGTGAGCACACTATAAGTTTAACTGTGCCAAACACAGCCCAAAGCTGCCTGCTGCAGGCAGGCACTCTGCACAGGCAGGGATTGGGAATCCCTTTCCTTGGGATTTTCCTTGGGGAACCCTATTGCTGCTTGGCTGGCAATGCACGGGGCCTTAGTGCTTCCTGGGGCTATGCAGCAGGGAGGACAGACCTGATCCCAGCTGCCATCCCTGTAAAAACATCTTTACGTGCCCTTCTGGGCACGTAACTTCAGCCAGTGGCACAGCAGCATAGAGGCAGAAAAGGACCCTGTGATGAAGCCTTGAATATTTCTACTCTGTTACTGCTCGGTGTGTATAATCTACAGTTTAGTAGCCAAACCCCAAAGGGGCGAGAAAAGCCTGCAGCCTGGTTCAAGGAAAGCAGAAATTGAAACAGCAAGTTCTGTTATCAAGTGTCTTGAGCAAGGAAAGTGAAAATAAGGTGACTAAAGCTAACGCTGTATTACAGCAACGACCAAGGGACGGTCGTCCACCTTTTTAACCCAGCCGCTGTTCCTCTGCCTGGCTAAAGATTGGAGGAAGCTGAAACAGCCAAAGAAACAAGAAAGGCAGAGGGAAGCCTCGCATTTGTATTTTAAATAACCAACCACATTGCTATCCCTTCCCAGTACAGCCGAGTCAGAACCACAGCTTGTTAAATGCCACTAGAGTTCTAGCTGAAACATGGTTCACCTGAGGAATAGGTGCTTCAGCTTTGCTCTTCCTACGGGAAAGGAACGGCTCGAGGGCAGAGCTGCATCCCATCACAGCATTGACAAGTCACCAAGCCTCCCTGTGCGAGTGCTAAGGCCACTCAGCGTAAACCAGCGGACGTGGTTCAGTTGGGGGAAAGAAGCTCAGGGGAACCGGGGGTCCAGACACCGAGAGGGGCAGAGCCCTTCGTCCTGCTGAGGTAGATAGGGCAAGGTGCAGGCGGTTCGGCAGGGGAAGAGACCTCAGGTGGCTGCAGGGGCGAGCCCAGCACTCACCAGCCTCCTGTCCTTACAGGCTGGGTCTTCCCCTATCACTCTGCACTTCCAGGCAACATTAATTACTCTATTGCTTCTTTTCAACTGGGGAAGTCTCTTCCCTCCTCCTTTGATACGCTTGGCCTTTGTTCTAAGCAGATGAAAGACAAGTGCCTGATGTGTAAATCCTCACCGCTCAGAGCACAAGTGGGTCAACAGCTTTGCTACCTGCTTAGCAGAGCGCAGCGACAGAGCAGCTACAACAGTAGGTGACCATTTCCACACGTCCCTGCACTTCAGCCTCAGAAGGGATCCGGCTCCCCTGGAGAAAAGGCACCATTTGAAGCTCTGAAGCTCTCCCAGGTGCCAAAACAGGGTCCATGCAAGGTTTAGGTACCCGCAGGAGCTCTGGAGACAGGTAAGGTACCAGAAGAGCAGCACAGCTTCAAGCACAGCCCACGCTCACGGCATCGGGAGCCAGCAGGGAGCCGAGCGCCTCTTTGCGACAACAGGGCCCCCGCCTTGCCTCTGCCCGATTCCTCCGAAGGAACAGCTCGCCCTTACAGCACCTCCCACATCACCCCGGGTTCAGCGCTTCCCTGGGTCAGCTACCGGGCACAAAGCCTTCAGAGAGCACGCACAGAGCCAGCGCGACGGATTCCCGAAGCCAGCTAGCTGATGGTTTCTCAGCTTGTCCCTGCTCTAGGCACGTGCACCAAGGCTCCATCGGGCCAACAAAACGAACACAGGAAAAGATAACCCAACGCGTCCCAGCAGCGCGTGGGAAGCAAGTGCAGCACAAGAGCAGTTAGCAGAGCAGCCTGGGGCAGATCCCCTACAGTAATTTAGGTAAGAACTTCCCGCTGCACCCCTCCAGGAGGGCAGCGGCTCTCACTACACCATCTCCTGCAGGCAAACAGGACCGTGTAAGCTGAGGACCCAAGTCCTTCCTCAGGCTGGTTCCCAGCACACGGGTGCACACACACACAAGCCCACCCTATACACAGGCTTTGAGCCCAAAGGGAATGAACGGATCCATGACCTACTTCCCAAACCACACTGAAGTGTAGGAGGGATACTGGAAGCACTGGGGGAACTCACCCAAACATCAACTGCACCATACACCACGCAACAAACTCAGAGTGATACTGCCCTGCTTCGCTATCCTTTCCCTGATTCAGCCACTCACTGTGCCAGAAAGGAGAAAAGAAAAAAAAAAAAAAAAAAACAAACCCCGAAACCCACAACTATCCTGGAAAAGTTCTTTTCCAAAACACGCCTCGCTCCCATAGACCTGGGCTTCATCCACTAAGCGAACAAACAAAAAGCCAACAGAGTATATAAGCAAGTAAGGCCTAGCTGAGGACATCGGTGTTCCCAGAGCATGTGCAACCTGAGAGCTTCTGGCTCTTGACACAAGCTTTCCGAAGAGGGAACGCTCTCCTTGAGGGGCTGGAGGGTCCAGGAGGGAGAGCGAGCTACAGCTGCCTTCAGGAACATAAAACAGGGGAGAGGGGAGTCAAAAAGAACAACGGAACGAAACCAAATCCTCCCTCCCGGTACGACTGCAACAGAAGGAATTTCTACACAATCAAGGGGTGCTGTTCCCACCAGGGCGCCTTTGCTGGGTCTCTCCGCCCAGAAGGACTGAGAAACACATCTCAAATCTCCAAACCACCCATCACTTGTACCACCTCCACGTACACCCCCTCATTAAACAGACTCCCGGCCGGGCCTGGGCAGCAGCAGCAGCCGCCTTCGCCGGGGACAGACAGCATCTTCCTGCGTGCTCCTTCATACAATGGCACAAGAGAATGAAAACAGCTTTGCAGGAACATTCGCTTCCTTCTTTTTTTGTTTCGTTTTATGATTATTCTTTTTTTTTTTTTTAAATACACAATGTTTCTTCTGGAAGAAAAACTCTCCAGAACTTCACATCCTTAAGGCGTCACGAGTTTACTAGTCAGGATCCACTGGACAGCTTATTTGACAGACCTCCTCCTTCTCTCTTCTCTCCCTTCAGAGCCGTGTGGCTGGATGGGCTCTAAGTGGAGTGCAGGGGGATGACGAATTTGCAGCCGAAGGGTGAGTGGTAGTTTATTCCCACTTCTTGAAAGACCTTCTGGGGAATGCCAATGTCACAGAGGTACACGCGCCCTGCCCTCTCGCCCAGGGGCAGGGGCAGGCCCAAGGCCAGCGACCACTTGGCGTCGATGCCCTGCTCCATTTCGTTTATCGGAGGGTCTATGCTGAGGACGGGTGCCCGGTTCTGGTTGGCCCAGTCCACAACTGCTTTGTACCAAGGCTGATCTCTCAAAAAGGCATTTTCATGACAATCCAAGCAGTTGATCACTAGGTCAACAGGGGTATCTGGGAGATCTGAAAGAAACACAAACACCGTTGAGCACTGAGGACCAACCTGAAACCACAAACTAAGGCTCAGTGCCTTCCCTCCTTGCACTGCCAGCAGATATTTCATTTTTTTCCCCCCACCAGCACCCACAGTCTCACTGCATACAGACTGGCCTTACCTGTTGTTATTGCTGTCCTTCTGCAAAAGACACCGATATTTAAAAGCTCTTTAGCACTCTGGAGAACATTCACAGACTCTCAGGTACAAAATCTCACCAAGCGGTCAGCACTTGAGCAGCCCCAGATGCTGCCGCTGAGCTGGCTCAGCAGTCCAGGCAGCCCAGGGAAGCAGTGGCGTTCTCTCTCCATTATAAAAGGACCATTTTATATTCCATAAGCTGAAGAAAAGGCCTATTTTTCTAGAACGCGCCGACTACCTCTTCTATGGACAGGCAGCTTGTGTGCTGCACTGCTGCCTGCCCCACTGAGCTCTGTCGGTCTCACTGCACTCACCCGCTCTGTACCACATCTGCTGCATTCCTCTTACCTCACGGACCACCAAGTCCTCGGTGCAAGATCTTCTATAATCTTTTGTAACAGGCAAGCATCTCAGCCAGCACAGCGCAGCCCCCCACCCTGCCACAACACAAAACATTGTGCAGTGCCCTAACTACCAGGTTTGTTTCTCCCAAGAAGTTTAAATGAAACAGGTTTGAAAATACCACTGGTGAAACGACAAGCAGAAGCCAGCTCTCTCACAGAAGATGGAGCACCAGTTTATTCTAGGGCAAACTAAGAGATGTGAATTTTGACAGCTGCTGGGACTAGTTCAGCAAAGCTGTCTGCTTGGTTTGAAGCAGCAGTCGGATGCTCATTTACTTGCAGTTTCGATATGCTGAACAAGGAAGGCCCTTATCCTAAGAGAACGGCTGGTCTGACTCAGATCCATACAGCAGCTCTTCCGTATTTGTTCATACAAGAAACATCTGTACCAGCACAACTGCTCCACTGTTGAACCTCTCGAGTCTCTGCTGTCCCGCCAGCCTCCCCCCCCCCTGCCTATGGCGGTGCCACTAGATGGTGCCACCGGTCCGGGCAGGCACTGGGGAGCTGAGCGGCACAGGTCTCTGCGAGGCGCAAGGGCGGCGGAGAGCAGATCTGCTCCTCGCTCACTTACCTTTGACGCTGGACACCTGCTGGCCTTGCGTCTTGCTGAAAAGGTTCAGCTCGTTGGTGATGGATTCCAGCATCTTGACAAAGTTGGGTAGGAAAAGGATGACGTGGACGTCGTGGTTGGAGAGGTGCCGTCCGCAGCTGATCCCCTGGGCCCCCTTCACGTGGGGGCCGCACAGCAGGGCTACCGTAGGCCGCTGATGCACGTTCTTCGGGTTCAGCCTAAAACGCAGACAAAAGGGGACTTAATAAATCCAAGAATCTCTTACCTTCTTCCTGCAAGAGCGAAGAAAGAAAAGAAAAGGAAAAAAAAAAAAAAAAAATATCAGTAAAATGCAAATTTACAGGTGTTTTGCAAATCTTCCGCTGCCTCCGAGAAGGAACCCACATCCTTTTGCAGTGCTGACACTAGGGAGCTGCTCTGCTTGCAGGTTCCCTTTAAGACTTCCTTGCACCCACGGCAGAGAGCACAGGGTCTCAGTCTATCCTGGTTCACCACAAAGCCAACTTATACTTTCAAAGCAGGGGGCATTTTCACTGCTCACGTAGCAAGCCTGAATCCAGTGCAATTCCACTTTTAGGAGGCTTTTTTCCTCTGCCCCTCTGATTTTAGAAGAATGCTAACTATACAATCTTAGAAATATGAGGTGATTTACTCCATCAGCAGAGTCACAGTTAAAAAAAAAAGAAGAAAAATAATTTCTACTCTCTAAGCCTCATCAACTGCAAAATAAAGTTGACTTATTTAAAAGGCCTGCAAGCCATCAAGGATAGCTTACAGTAGGATTTTCAGCTGATAGGGTCAGTGCTGCCTGGTATGTTATCACTTACTGCTCTCAACCAAATCATCAGGTCCTGGTAAAGTACTACCAAATAAACAGATGGAGACGTAAGGCTTGCCTTCCATTTCAAGGGCAAATAATATGGAGCATCTATCAACCACACAAAAATACATGTGTAATTGTCTGCCCTCATCAACAACTATGGTACTTGCAGGCACAGAGCAGACCTCTTCAAAAGAGTCAGCACATATATCCATGCAAAGAGCAGTAAGTGCACTCCAAACCTGCCATCAAATTGGGCCCTCCAAAAGAGCAGGATGTTCTCAGCTTAGGTGCAGATGCCTGAAAGCTAATTTAGCATTGTGAAAAGCTACGCAGCGCTTTGTTTTCATGAGCTGACTTTTGGTTTTATTGATATCATTAAATTGTAACAAGAAAAAACAACAAAGGAAAAGATTACTTATTTGCAAAAAGGAGCAGCTCACCAGAAATTCTGCAATGGTTTAATCTGCCTTGGGTTACACCTGCGCAACGCTCAATTCCGTGAAAAAATTCCCAGTAAGTGGAGAAAAAAATCTCAGCTCTGTCTGTTTTGTCTTTGACTCAAGAGACACTTCTGCTTCTGGGACACAGGAGCCAAAAAGAAGCCCTTAGTAAGTCATTCATCCAAGATGGTATATTCAGCCAGCCCTTTTCTAGAGAGGCTAGAGAGGAGGAAAAAAGCAGCACGAACATGGAAACCTACTGTAAGGCTTCCTCCCACTTCAGGAGCCTGAGCCTCACACTTGTTTTCGTGATTATTCGGAAACAGGCTGATACACAAGCTACAACACAGGTCTGCATGGCATCGGGATGAGTTTTTTCTTTTAGCGGCAAGGAAGGCAGAGAGGACCTCTGAGGGACTAGCGCAAGCGGCAGCAGGCGTCCACATTACATTTACCTCAAAAATAACCTCTCAGCCTCTTTTACCTCAACCCCACTTAGCAGAACAAGATAAGCTGAGCTCTGCTTCGAGGGGGCAAACCCACAGCAGAGTGAAAGGGAACAGCTTTACCTGTTGGGTCCCCCAAGGAGGCTCAGGGCCATCTGACTCGCACACACTCCCGTCATCTCCAGCCTCCGCTCCAGAGTCAGCCCGTGCTTCTCAGCAACCGAGAGCAGCTTTTTGTGAAGCTCATAAGACACGCTTGGAACGACCAGCCCGGAGTCTGGGGTTCAAAGAGAGCAGAAGGAAGAAGACAGAAATGGGTATAATCAGAGACTTTTTCAGAATGCTGCAGTCTGATAAGGTTTTATAGGACAGCACTTAGAAATGATGACAGTGCAAAGGCTTATTAGCTGTTACCAAGGGTCTGCTTAACCCAGTAATCCAGGTTCCTTCCAAGACCATCAAATGAATCCAAACTAGTGCATCAGAGTCAGCTTACTCTGTTTGAGTGAAGCACTGACAGCTAAACACAATTGCTGGGCTTGAAGCAATACACGTTTCCACGAAAATTCAGCAGGCAGCTGGCAATTTTAGCAATGCGTGGACTGAGGACGCCTTTTTGACTTACAGATTGAATATTAAGTTCTTTCTTAATGGTCTCCAGGTCACCAGTGCTTTAACCCACGCCCATGCCCAAACGTATGTAAGTGTTCCTAATCACTATGAAAGTCAGAAGAGAAGCGGTGAACCAGATTTCCCACCAAAAAAGCTTGTATGCATTATGCTTCCTGACATCAGTAGTGACCAGCCCCAAACTTCCAGCCCCTAACCCACATACCACAGCAAAACAAGACGTCCCACATTTACTAGGTAGGTGTCCACCACCTGAACTGTGCCGTGCCAGAAGGACTGGCTTCAGACACAAAAGCTGAATCACGATACGCTGAGGCAGCAGGGGAACGATGCGGTTGAAAGAATAAAGTCTGTAGAAAAATACTTCTCAGACATTTTTGACAGCCCGGTCTGCGAGCCAGGAAATGCTCCAGCATGCGGATCAAGGGAAAACAAACAAGAGAGGTTTTGTTAAGCGCTGAGAACAGTGCCTGCAGTAGGAAGCAATACAATTGAGCAATTGCTCGCTCCTACAGCAAACTTGCCTGGAATCAGCAGGTAGGAGAAACACAAACCCGAATAACTGTTCTGGCCAATTCTTTATACTTTCCTTCTCCAAGCAGGCCAAGCTGGCACTGACTTCACAGTGCCATAAAATAAATATGGAAATAAACCCTGCAATAACATCTGTAACTCTCCTGTAAATAAATACAGATGATTCCTTGCCACCAAAGGCAGCTCGCTCTGAGGGGAGCCACAGCAATTTTTTGGTGGTGTGTTGAATAATGGAGGACAAGGAAACTGAAAATAATTACTTATGGTATACGGAAAGAGAAGTGCAAAACGTAAGTGACAGGTGAGAAAACTGCTGCAGCAGCCAACCAGATATCCCTGAATATCTTCAGCCACAGAAATCAGCCTCTTTATTCTAACTTTCCTCCAAAATAAATCTGATATCCAATTTTGTGTTTGAGGATTCGCACGTATGTAGAATCAGAAACTCAGGCTATTCTTCCCTTGAAACATCCTCCTGCAAGGCCTGGATGTCCTTAGCTGTCTCCCAGCTAAGGAACAGCACAGCTTAATTCCCTCCCCACATGGGACGGCCACATAGCTGGAGCACAGCTGCCAGCAAGAAGGGCTCTCAGCTCCTTCTGCTCACATCATTCACGAGCACCGCTCCGAGCTAAACAAGCAATCCCAGCAGAGTCCGGCTGAGCAAGGGCTCTGTGAATTTACTGTTAGTTCCTACTCTGGGACAGGCAGATGAGGTGCACGGGAGTCAGGCACGATGGGTCAAAAAGGTCCAGGACTCAGACCGACACCTGCTACAGCTCAGGCACGACACCAAACATCAGGCCAAAGTGTGAACTCGGTCCTTCCATCAGCACACTCTGCTTCTGCAGTGTTCAGCGGCCAGCAGCCCCGACTCACCTTCGCACTCCCTTCAGCCGCTCCGCTGCTGAACTCGGGGCGGCAGCAGCCACCCGGGTGCTCAGAGCAGCCCAGTGCCGAGGAGCACGGCAGGGCTCGGACTCCCTGTGCTAATGGGGAAGAGTCGTGGGAACGTGACATGGCCCAGTGAAAACGCTCTGCAGCGATACGAGCCCAAAGGGGAACAGCCACAGCGTACACATCCGCTCAGAGAAGAAACCTAACAGTTACTTGTGGGCTTGGGCTCTTTTGCAGACAAAAAACATAACAAGAACCAGTCGTAACAAGCAAGTGTCATATTCAAATGAGAAAAGCAGCGTGTATTTTAATTGTGAGGAATTATTTGTACTGCCATATTTCCCCAGGGTGCCCCAGTCACAAACCACTAACTCAAGCTATGGCGGAAATGGCAGGTTTTGTACATCTTGAGGTTTTCAGAGTCAAATCGGAGGTATTCCTGCAAGGTAACAGTAAAATGTTGTGGAGTAGATCCCGCTGAATCCTTCTAGCCTTCATTTCTGAACTCACCGGCTAGTGCTCTGCAGATACAGAGGGCCCAAACGTGTTCAAACACTTGACCTTGCATGCTAACCGCCGATTAAGCTACCTCCGCTAATAGCCTTTCATTACATGCAGCACACATGCAAGCATGCACATTATCAAAGTCATTTCAGACTCCTGATAGCAGCCGCTGAACATTTGGAGTCATAAGCCACTAATAATCCTAAGCCCGTCGCACTAGTCACGCACCTGCCCCGCGTTCACACACCCTCTTAGCCTCCCGAGTCACGCAAGGCTCGGCTCGGCCTCTTTCCCATTCATATTTTTGCTACTTCATCAGGTCTTGTTTTTCAAGCTTGAGGGAGGACTTGGAATGAGTGACCTGAGGTCAGGATCTCTCCAAACAGTTTGACGGGACACATCCTCTGCTAACCTGAAACAGGGGGGTCCCAAACTGTAGTTTTGCTTCTTCTGAACTGCTGGGCCATGAATTCTCTGCTTAAATTTTGCACAAACTCCCCAAACTAGAAGGGTGGAACAGCCGATCTACACTCTGTATCTACCCGATTTAGTACGACTGTCACCAATGTGTAACCACTTACAATCATGTCCCCCAGACCACGAGCTTTAGCAAGCCCGCATTTACCACCAGCTAGATGCAACTCGGAGCCCAGTGGGTTAATGCAAAGGAGGCAGCAGAGGCATGAGATGAACTTGCGTTCAGCATGCAAAACAGCTGGCCCGAGCCAGTGCTACACTTTGTCCTAATTGCTCCCTCTCAAGAGCAGGCTTAAATGCCAAGAGAACTTCCCTTCTTCGCACTCACGCAAGGTCCAACCAGTCAGACTGGCTTATCAAAACCAGGCCGAGGGAGTTAAATAAACTGGCAGAAAGCAATCAAGGAGGCGACGTGTAAACCCACAAACAATAACACTACTGCAACAAAACTGAACTCCTGCCAACTTTAATTATGTTTGGGTTGGACAGTGCATCTTTATTGTTTGGTAATGAAGGTAATAAAATAAATTAGCTCAGGCCTTTTAATATTAAATAAATGTATTTTACAGCTGCCTGGAAAAAAAAGGCAGATATAGACTAAACAGTTTTGTGACACGCAGAGTATTGCTGAAGCCTGATTAAACATGAATTATTCTCCTTTTATGAGGCACACTCTGTCCTGGGCACTACGATTGCGAACAAGTTATCTCCTCGAGCTTCACTATGCAATGTTACACACATACTGGTTGGATTAAAACACCCTCAGCCAGCAGAAGGACTGAGCTAACTCTCCAGAAGCTAAGGAAATAAGAGTTTTTTCCCAAACAAGCCCAGAGCAACGTTGCTGTCAGAAGTCCAAACGCCTCCCATGCTCTCATTGCAGGAAAAAAACGAGAGGGTTGCTGCTTGAGTAGCTCAGTGTGTAACCCCCATCTTCTCTCTTGACTATAGTAAAATAAATACAGGCAAGCTGCAGGAATGGATGAGATGGAACTAGACTTAGGAACTCCTGAAAGCTGTACATAAAGCCATTAATTCTTTCCCTTAGCAATAAATAACTCCAGGTTCCAGAGCCGCACAGCTCATGGTCTAAGATGCAGTTACGTGAAGTGGGTGTAACTCTTGTCCAGTTTAGGCAGATGGGACATTACTTGCTGTCTTTTGCTGGTTGTAAAGCTGGAGCCACCCGCCTGCGGACTCAGAAAAACACAGTTACTCGCCCCACAAACATGACTGATTTTCTCCACAACCTTAAGGGCTAGATTTTTTTTTAAAATCATCATTATTTTTAATTAAGACAAATTCTGAGGGAGTTCTGGCTGAAGTGCCAATGACAGCCTCTCCCAGCATTAGTGCACAATTCACTCCAGCTGAGCAAAAAACCATCTGAGGGACAAAGAGACACTGCCCCATGACCACTTTGTTTTCTCCTGCGGTTGGATAAAGTGAACTTAATTTGCACTCTACTCAAAGATCCCAGAAACACTTCACACATTCAATATACACAATTGCTGTAAGGCAGTCATCCATAGACTGAAGAGCTAAAAGCTAGAGAGTACAAGAGTCAGTCAAGGACACGGCACACGAAAAAAAGCCATACTGTCGGCATCACCCTCGCAGAACAGACTCAGCCTTAGTTTTGTGGTCCGACCCTGGCACATAAGCTCTGCCTGCTGCATTGATTTACGTCTAAGCACACTATCTCCTTACCATGGGGAAAAAGGTTTCCTGAAGGACAGGCTTGAAGTCTGGTAAGAGGGAACACAGAGAAATATCGACACTTAGTCGGATTTTTTGAGCATAGTCCTGCTTTCACTTGACAAATGGCTATCTCAAATTTCTACAGCAGCTGAGTTTGAAAAATCCCATTTATTTTCCAGAAGAGACACTGGGATGGAAACAGCATATTTTCTGCACTAGCAGCATTAACAAGAAGAGAACCTGCTTTGGACAAAGCCTCACTAGTACATCAGGGAAAGAAATACATACCTTACCTACGTGGCATACAGCTCTCCTCTCTAGTCATCTCAGTGTGCTCATAAAGACACTTTCTTGGCAGAAAAAAAGTTAAGAGGAAAGAAGAGATGAACTGCAAAAAGAGAACGATTTGGAGAGCCTGGTATGATTGAGATTATATTACATAGAGTCACTGATGATGAACTGAGATACTCCATCCTACTGCAAACTCCCCTCAGCTCCAACATACCTACAGAACATTGGCTTTGCAGCCACAGCTAAAAGACCTGATCCCAAAACACCGTGCTGTTCAAACACAGATCGTTTCAATGCTGATAGCCAACAGAAGGAACAGAGACAGACCTATGCCAACACACATTTAAATTCTCTATCTGGACAGCTCTGGAAGTAGAAAAAGACAGCTCACACCTCATAAAAAGGATCAGCCTTTCCAGGGAGGCAGATTTTTGTTAAACAGTTGCACTTTCCCTTTCAAGCGTCACAAAATCGTAAATAAAGAGACAGATCAATAGCAGCCAGCCCAAAAGAATAAAGACTAATTATGTATTTGGGAGCAATTCATATGTGGAGCCCCAGGGATGGACTCAGCTCAGTCATGATCAAAGACCTGGTAAGCTCTATTAGCTTCAGGTTTTCTTTTTTGTTTGGAACAGATCCCCATCCTCATTCCCTGCTTACTTCTATAACACATGCTAGTATACCTACGTGACAGCCCGGTTCCATAAAATTAGCTCTCAGAAAAGGATCCTGGTGGACTGAAGTGTTTAATCAAGCTTCACTTGCATCCCACATAGATCAACTTATTTTAGTCAGTAATAAAAACACAGACTGGAAGCCCTGCAGCTTAGTCTTCTGGGGAACTGGCATCAGCAGTTTGGTGGTTTTACCGCTGCACAATCCTGGTTATTTCCTAGCTCCATGGAAACATAGCATAAAAGAGCATGCAAGGATTCACAGAATTCTTCCTCTCCCACAGTGACAAGAGCTGGATATTAGCTGTCAATCACCAGCATCACTTTGTTTGTGCTATCATAGCAGACAGAATAATCATTCTATCAGCCACAGCTCTTTTAAGACAATCATCTTCAAGATTGGCCTAGGGAAAAAAATTATGAAGTACTTACTTCTCCTACAACTAGGAAGTGCTTTTTGCAAGTAAAGCTCCCCTAAGGAGTTTTTTTTAAATTTCAGCAGCAGAAAGAGAATTCCTGCCACAGATATATCCAAAATCATGGCTTTCGGGGCTATTGGCACTCTCATTTAATTTCAGCAGCTGCTGCTCTTTGAGCCACTAAGAGAGGCAGGCTGCCTAAGGCTTAGCATCCTTCTTCCAATTGCTAAACAAAAGAAATCAGGATTTTTTTCAAGTGACAGTCCATCATTACTCCAAGCATACTGAATATCTTTCTGTCCCTCGGAGGGCTGACTCGCTACAAAAAACACTAGACTGAATGCCAGAAACAGTAGGCAAGTTACAACTGTTTATAAGAGCTTTTGCTAGATAGCCATTAGCATTTCCTAAGCAAAAGTAAACTTCCTCAGCGGTCACAAAGGAAGTCGCTCTCTGTGGGAAAAACATCTAGAGAGACACAGCACTGGGACACTTTTATCATCATTCACAGGACTGTGAATGTGCCCTGCTCAGCACAGGCGACAGGGAACTGTAGCTGTCAATACCCTGCCCGTTGTGTGACACGACAGCTTTTCTTCCAAACAAATCCAGAATTCCATACGGGAGACTAATCACCCAACAGTAGCTAATGAGGCTAGCAAGACCCTGCAACTACAGAGGGGAGTCGTTTGCCACCCTGCCCGTGCAAGCTTGCCAAGAACAAAACAAGAAAACAGCAGTCCTTTCACTGGGCCGCTCCCTTCAGCACGCTGCAAGCGGGGAGCCAAGAGTTTCCATAATAAAGGACGATGGAGTTTAGCAAAACGAGATTTCATTTTCATCCCCTGAATTTACTTACTGATGCTTGCTGCTTATTGCACGTCAGAGTTTTCCTCCCAGGAACTGTACTGCTAGAGTATCATATTAGCCATATTTCTCAAACTGGCAGCTAACAGTAGGTTAGCTTTTGTTTCAGACTAGACGTACATAGAGGCCCTGTCTCCTCTCACACAAGCCAGCTAGAAGATGAATTGACAAGTAGCAAATTTAAAAAAAAAAAAAAATTAGTAAATCACACACGAAAATGAAGAAGTGCTTATTCACACAGCAAACAGGCGATCGGTGGAGCTTCTTGCCACAGGACACTGTAAAGATACTGAAAGCTTGCACAGATTTAAAAAGCAATAGGTTAAATTAAGCAGAAGAAAAAAAAAACTCACCAAAAGCTATTAATACTGAACTGTCACTTCTGCTTCAGGAAGTCTTAAAATTGTGAAAGACAAAGCACTCAGGGGAAAGTCTCACTGAATGTTTACTCTGTTCTTTCACTCTTCCTTAAGCATCCCTGGAAACACAACACTGAGTTGGACAAGTTCTGATATGACTAGTATATTTTTATCTCATTCAAGAGCAGAACAGATCAATAGGAAGATGGATGACACAAATGGAAAACTACGATACTGTTGTATACCAGAACCATTAAAAAAAATTTACTTTTTTTAAAATTGAAAAACAGCAAATCATTGCAAATGAATCAGCTTCCTTCTGTAAAGTGTTTCACACCCCAGATGGGGTTTCTGGGCAAAGAAAGAATGACAGATCAAGGACTTGATCACATTTCTGCTCGGTGGCCAGACCACCAGGATATTAGCTATTTAGTGTCTCTCTACAAAAAGATCTGAATTTTGATTTTATTCTGATGCGGAAAAGAAATGTTCCTGGAATGCCAAAGTTCCTTCACTCCTACATTTTGCAAGTGCCACAAAGCACGCAAACCGAAGGCAGGACACTACAATTAGACTAAAGTTACAGGGAATTTGCACCTAATTGTAGCGTAAAGTACATATGCTATACTTCATAGCATGTATACGTATAGAAATAAAAAGATTCCTTATAGTAAAATCCATTCACATACATAAGCGGCTCCGGGTGAAAACACCATTACCTGGTGCTCGGCCAAAAAAAAAAAACAAAACACTACTGAACGTGAAATGAAACCAATTCTACCCTTCCCCAGAGCCATGGATTAGGAGCTGAATAATCATTCTCTGCATTTTGATTTTAGGAGCGCTGTCTCCCTGCAGCCAGGCAGCTCACTGATCCACCCCGCCACCCTCACCTCCGTCCAAGAGCCTACCTAGCAGCAGCAAGGACCAGAAATCAGACTTGCAGGAGAACATCTGCGCAGCAGCTGGCACCAGCATGCCGAGCTAGTTTTCCCTCATGATACACTTGACAAATACTTCAACTCAAACATCTGCCTAAAAGTTTTTCTTTCCCTTTATAATTAAGACTAAGGTAAAGCAAAGGAGAGAAAGACATTCTTTACAGATGTGAATGTGTTTGTCCAGCTTTCTGGGGCTCGATCTTTCACACAGCAGCAGTGGACAATAAGTAAGTGGGAGGGGGGACCGCACATAAAAAGCCTTTTGTACAATGAATGTTTGGAATTATGGATGGGAAGAGCCAGAACTGTTTCTTTTTACACCAATGACATTTAAAGTTCTGCAAAACCATGCAAAAATACAAAACTACCACGTAAGGAGCATCAGAAACACATGAAATCTCCTGCCTTTTACCAAGAAAGCACAAATTACAACATGCTACCATGTACTGGAATCCTGAGACCATGCCTCCCTCTCAAGAGTCAGCAATCAAGTCCATGCAGGTTCGTCATGCTACTGAAATCAAAGCAAGGATTCAAATGGCTCCTGTCCACTTTCCGTTCTTGTTATCCAGACATCAGTTTTGTTCCCTACTGCAAAAACACTTACCTTGTTGCCCTATCTGAATATTTTTTATCTTGGAAATATTGCAAATAAAGGTTGTATGTAGATACAAGGCACAGATCCAATCTTACGTAAATGAACGCCCTTGCTTGTACCACGCTAAGCTGATAGACACCCCTTGGGGAAAACAATCCACCACATGTTCCCCAGAAAAGCGGCAGAGTTTGCATCCTTATCAGTAAGGGATGTGGCATACCCGTGCAGAATTCTTTGTTAGCGTTCTGGGGTACGACAATCCTTCTGTAGACTATGGGCTCCGATTCCAAGATGTTCTCGTCATGCCGATAGCGAGCTGGTTTCTCATTTGGGGTCCCCCGGGAACGAGTGCCACTCCTCCTCTCATAAGTTTCAATCTCTTCAAACACGGCTGCCTTGTCAAAAAGGGCCAGGTTCCCTTCAAAATCAAAATCTGTGTCTGGGATTTCGTCAATGTCATCCCCAAAGCACTCATCATCTTTGCTCTTCATTTGCCCGTTTTTCAGACCACTCTTCTTTGGAGTCACTTGGTTTGGATGACGGCTACTGGATGACCCTAAACAAAAATAAAAGCAAGTTGAAAGTGTGTCATAAATGGAAAAAGCCACGTCTGCTCATAGACTTTCTCAGCAAATTTTGTAAGAGAGGGGTGTTTATGCTTATAGTCCACTGACTCAAGGGATACTCGCTTCCCGAAGAAGCTGTAGTCCTCATCTTTGGCATTACTCATGCTAAGATAAGCTAACAGAAAATAGAACAAGAGCATCAGGAGAGAGACTTTCAGGGACTTTCCACTGGCAAGGTTAGAAAAACAAACTTGACCACAGTACCAAAATAAGTGTTTCTCCACATTTTATTTAATTCAAGATAGTGTCACATTAGTGATAAGATAATAAGCTAGCCGTGATGTAGGACAGTTGTCCTCCTATACTGAGCTCATGTTCATGCAGGCATGGGGCCCAAGATCTTCTTTGGAATTTCCCTAAATTTCAGAGACTAATGTAGGTGTTTTCTGCCGAAACAGGCTGGCCGCCTATTAGTGATCTTTATGGGAGAACTTAAAACACTGAATATAAAGCATTTCTTCTTCCTTGCACTTGCTAACAATAGGTACACATTTCTGTACTGATACGAAGTACTTTTCCTTATTCCTATTGCATTATTCTACTTATTCATCATCTTGCATGTTTAAATACACTTCTTTCCAATCACTGATTTCTCTGGAGTGAGAGTGATGAAAGTCTCCTCATTCCCAATTTATGGCTGGAGATCAAGGACTGATACAAAACCACATGCAATTACAAGGTCAACATATCCCTCTACTTGCTTATGTCTTACATTATTATTCAGGTCACCCATACAAACACAGGTCCAGACAACATTAATCTGTTTGTTATACCCATTATTAAATTTGCAATTACTAAAAAATATTTCAGGCCAATTCTAGCAATTACAGGTATCACCTACAGTGTCCAACAGATGGAGTAAGAGTTATCACACCAAAAGTGCTTGCTGTACTAAAATATTTCTCACAGTTTATGATAATCACCTTTCCGAGTCATTTATACAAAGGACTTTATTGACAGAATCCATTTGATAACACAGAAACAAATTACCACGACGATGTGTGCTCTTTATATATCTCCTCCATAAATGAAAAAGCAGCATTTTTTTGTCTTTACACATTATTGCCAATCACTGAGAGAAGACAGAATTTCAAGTCATCTAAGGATACTTGGAAAAGATCCCAAAAAGATTTGCAATAGGCACAACCTTCGTGGCCTCCCATAAAGTTACCTGTCACCTTCAGAAGTGCAGACAAGTCTAGCTTCGTCTTGGCAAATCCCTCCTTCTCCCTGCCTGGAAAGGCTTATTTGTAACCTCAGGTCAGACTGGTGGAGCAGCCGCAAGCTGCCTAACAAACCTGAGCTCTAATTTCCCCCATTTCCAAAGTGTGAAATCCTCCACTCCATTGACAGGAACAGCACTTCCCCTGGAAAGCGAAGGACCCTCCTCCTGTCAGCTGTTTCTACAGGAGCGTTCATTCGTTTCAGGATCAGGACAGGAATGGGCACATTCAAGACCAATGTGTAGATTTCGGCCAAGTCAACGAACATAACTCATCTCTCTTACAGCAAAGTTATTCAGTAGCTCAATTACACAACTTAAACTGCAGCTGTTAACTCCAGAACACCCTTATGATTACCTGAAGCCATTATAGAAAACACTGTAAGAACAGACCGGAGCAGAGCACACTTTCATGGAAGATACAGGCAGGCTTGCCTGGAGTTCTCAGAGCTTATCAAGGACTTTGTAAGCTATGGCAAATTTGTTTTACAGCGTGATACTGAGTTCATCTAAGACCGCGTCTAACTTATGCCACACTGAAAGATGACTTGCTAAGGATATGTACTTGGTTTTATCTCAATTAGGAATGCATTGTCTCAGCAAGGATTTTCCCCCGTTTATTCTTCTCCATATTTTAGACGGTGTGTCACTTTTTTTTTTTTTCTAGAGACCCGTTTAAGTGACTAACCTGAAAGCTTTCCCAACCCCCACAGCAAGGAAGCTCTCTGAAATGCTCAGCAGCTCCTTCTCTGATGTCTGAAGTACTTGAGCTAAACAAAACAGACCTGAACACCCTAAAGCACTCCCTCTCAAAGCTGCTGCAGTTCCGGCCTCCAATTATGCCATAATTCACAAGTCCAGCAACAGCAAAAAAGTGCACAAGAAGGCAGAGTCCGGTATTTCCCACCTTGAAAAGCAAGGAGGTAAGACCCCAAATCTTCAAGGCTTTGTGGAATCATCAAGCATAACCCCCCACAATGATCATTTTCCTAATGTGAGTAATTTGTTGTTCTGGTGGGGTTTTTTGTTTTAAGCATGAGCTTAAGTGCTCCAGTTATGCCAGTTTAAAAACCGTTTTGCCCAAGCATCCCTAGCAAGCACTGAAGAGACTGAAAGAATCAACTTGCCCCACCTTTATCACCTGGCCTTATGAAAGATGTTGGCTTTTCCCTTTCTTCTCCAACACCACTATATCATTATAGCTACAGCACTGCTACGTTAAATAAAGTATCTTAAAGAGCATCTACAAAGTTAGACAGCTAATAGCATAAGTCTCTCACAGCAACACCCTGCCTACTGGATTTACTCTAACCTCATTGCATCATGAAAATCCACTGACTGCAACACAAAGCCACTTACCTCTTAAAAACAGCAGTAACAGTACAACAGCCAGCATGGAATATTTATTCTGCACGTACTGGAGCAACTGGAACTAGCCATACAGAGTTATGTGGTCAGCGTCACCACACTTCGACAATACTCTCTATAAATAGAGTCTCTATTTATAATAATTTGAAATTACTACTAACTACAGCAGGTAGTTCATTTTCAGAACAGTGATTTTCAAGCTGCTGGAGGCGTCCAGGAGTTTTTATAAACAACGGGGTGAGAACAGACTACTTTTGCCAAGAAGCCACTGAAGGACAGATAGCAGAATTCAAGAATTGCTCGTGGCAAAACACAATATAGGAGAGAGAAAGGATAAGTCTTTCTGGCAAGGAGAATTCCAGTATATAAGCTATGACCAGTCATTTACATGCATAGTTTTGAGAGAAAGGGAATGCTTTTTACTAACACGACTTCAAACTTGACATATAAACCACTCCAAAGTTGTACACAACTTGGTATGGAGCTGGGAACTGCCACTACCGACAAGGGAATCGCATCCAACGCTGCTGCTATCAGCTGCACAAGAAATGAAAACCCAGACCAACACAACAGGCCGAGTTCTCCAAATGTTCACAAACTCCAGGTCGAAGCAATAGTCAAGGGACTCTCAGAGTTCAGATGAATAAGCTGGAGCCTACAATGAACACAATGGCAAAACAAGCCTGCTTCTTGTGTCGATGTCAAGTGTTATGACAACTCCGTCCGTTCCTGTTACCCAACAAGAGTTTTTACACCCATTGCCAGATTCTTCTGCAAACAACTCCACGCTACCCTCAGCTGACCTGAAAAGCAAAATGTGGGGATAGATGCACCGCCGTGCAACGGATCCAGGGGACAGAAGCAGCTGATGTGAGCAGTGTGTAAATGCTGACAGAATAAAAAGCTGTACTAGAAAAGCTGCGAGAACAATGGCTGGAAAGCTCCCTGGGCTCCCCTGCAGACACAATGAATGGGAGCCAAGACTGTACCTCATCAAAACGAGACGTGCCGGCATTGTGGTGGGCAGCTCTCTAATCCATACCAATGGATGCCAACTCTGAAATACTGCTGACCCACACAACCGTCTGCCTTTTCAGACCGTAATACAACCCTGCAACAGAAGTTGCACAGAACATGGCAGAGGCCTCCTACAAACTCCAAGCAAAGTTACATGGTGTTCCTCTTCAAGCATCGCCATCTAAACAGGCAAGACGACTGGCAGCTGACGCTGTTCAGGGAAAAGGGGAGAAACACCTAGGAAAAGGGCAGGGGGAAGGAAGGGAAAACTCATGCAGAAGAATTTGAGATAAGGCTAACAGGAGGAGTGCCTTCCAGGGCACTAGTGTGACACACCAGATCAAGCCATTCCCTGAAAGCCACAGTTCACAGCTGTGCTTGCTTCCACGGCCTGATCCAGTCCTCTGCCAAGCAGCTACAGAAATCCAGACTTGTAGTCCAACTCCTTTTGGATCGCAACTTCCAGCGCCTCTGCCCTGTGTGTGCATGCGTGAAGCTTATTAAGGACAACAGCACATGGCTCCACGTCAAGTTGGCAGCTTCATGCCGCACAGAAAAGCACCTCCCTCAAAAGCTAAACAATACTTCCCAGGCTTTTTTTGTTTCTTGGGAAAAAAACCCTTTCATGTACAGCACACAAGCAAATGTAAAGTCTCTAGTGAGCTGGCCGCCTTCCTGCGAGATCCCTGTGGGAGCTTTTGCCGCCAGCCCTGGCACGAACAAGCCCAGTGCCAGCACGGCACAGAAACCATTGTTGTGAAACCTGCGCTGATATTTGTTGTTTATTGATTCCTGTCACACAAGTACTCCGAAGAGGGAACTTTGTCCCTGACTTAGCACGCTAAAGGGCATCAAAAGGTCAACTTTCAGCTGTACTAAACCCTATATGACTTAAGTTCTAGATGACATCTCAGCCCATTCTCCTCCGGATGCCTGTACCCACCATCTCCATAGAGCCAGGACCTCTTCCATCCCCCTCCTGAGATTCACACATCATTTGCCCTACTCTCCAAACACACACATTTTAGAGGGTAAGAGTTCACTTTTCTACCTCATTTATCCTAAAATGAATCCAAGCTAACAATAATCTACATCTAGCACCTTGCTCTACTTGTTTCAAACAAAGTCTGTAAAAGAAAATCTGACCTGCTGTTGTGCTTATGTAAAACTGATGTAAGCTATTTGTGGGTTGAAGTGGTTCTGAAGCACTCACTGCTCACCCCAGACCTACCAGACACTGGCAAAACAGCGTTACGTGAGGTAATCCCCCTACATGCTCCATCCAGCCAGAACAAAGCAAAGCAAGAGTTACTTTAGACATTTAGGTAGCTGACACTGATGTTCGAAAGTTTTCCTAAAACCAACCAAAGTAACATACTCAAACAACTAACTGGAATTTAGGAAGAGTTAAGGAATTAAAAAAAAAAAAATTAACCTTAAAAGAACCACAGCTCTCTTCCCACAACAAGCACTACGCAGTGTTTAGGCCTGGGTAAAAGTAAAACACTCAAAACCAGACAGGCTTGAAGATGGTTAGGTCACCGAGGAGCGCGCGCCTCCCCCTCCACATCATTCTGGCCTTCCTCTTCCCATCAGGCCTGTTTGGCAATCACTTAAATAAAGAAGTGAATATGAAAAGAGTTACAACCCTTTCAGAAAATAATGCAGCTGTTGGTGGGGGAGGAGGACTTCCAGAGGTCCAGGAACTTCTCCACATAAATACAGTCTTTGATCTCCCTGTTTAACTGGCCTTGCCCCCCTTGGTTTTGTTTCTTTTCTAAACACAAAAGCAAGGGAAAAAATGAAGTCATGGAAATACGCTGGATAGACACTGATGCTTCAACAATTAAGTCATGGAAATATGCTGGATATATACTGACGTTTCAGTAATTGCATGATGAAGATCTAGAAAGGAGCATAGCCCAGGGGGCTTTGAGAAAAAAAGAACATACCCAATTTTGGCACAGCGTGAGAGCTGGCTGAAGATTCTATGAACAGAAATAAACATAACGGATGCTTGACGCCGAAATGCACTGATTGTATCTTTACATCATTCTCATTAGAGCCCATTAATTTGTATTTTCAACAACACAGCAAATAACATTTGTAATTACTTGTAGGGTGATGTTGTAATAGGTTATGGTTATACAGGCTTTAAATAGAAAAGCTTTATAATATTGCAATTTGTTTCCAGTTCCTTTTAGAGGAAAAATGGAGGCTGGCAATTGGGCAATTTTCAAATAAGAAAGATAGCAGGAACGAGGAAATCATTGTAACTGGCTTTATTCAGCTCTGCATTTTCTAACATTTGATGCTGGTGAAGCAGAATAATACACAGGGTGGAACAGGGAAGATTTCCACTTCACTAATTAAATTTGAATATTCACTTTAACAAATAAATTGTTAAAGAACTATTTGCTTTTTACATAAATAGGCGTCAACCACACTTCTCTCAGAAATGCTGCAGTAAAGAAAACACCAGTATGTCACTCTTTGCGTTCTCAAACAGGGCTGTTCTTTGGGAGACTGAAACAGGAATGGGCAAAAAGATGTATACAACAGAAACGTATGGCACAATTGTAGTGCACCTGATAAAAGAATCTCTTTCTATTCATACTCCAGCTCATGTCCCGCCATATCATTTGTCTTTGCAGCCATCTACAGCCCCAGTCCCTCCAGTTCCACCATAGCCAGCGCAACACAGCATCTTCCCAAGAGCTCGCAAATATCATCTGTGCCTCTCCCAAACGCCAGCCCACGTAGCTGGAGGCTGTGAGGAGAGGGAGCTGCTTCCTTCGGCATCTTTGCTGCTCCTCTCCACCCTCTGTTCATACACATCTTTTCCCTGTTACATCCCAAATTACTGTAGTGTCCACCTCTACTATTCTCAACCCAACCTCTAAGCTCATGCCAGCAGTGACAGAAGAAAGGGATAAGAGATCATATCAGAATGTTGGGTCGGGGGAGAACATGAAGAGCGTTTTTCTTCTTAAATGTTGTCTTATGTGTCCTAAAACTAAATGAAGTAACGCACCCTGAAAATAAAGGCTGGTATTTCTCAGCAACAGGAAGGTGAATTTGCAGTTTGCACCCCAATCCATTTTGGAAGTACATAACAATGCCCTGCTTCTGTCCTGAATGAGCAATAAAACAGCTTTTGTGACCATTTCTCTTTATGCTAACATCTTCATAAGAGACACACAGAACAGTCTGCAGCATTTTAAATTCAGAAAGACTAATTTCCTTTATGGGCTTCAAGGAAAAAAAAAACCAAACACAACTTCAAATCAGGTTTGGCATGAGAAGCTTGCCAAATTCCCACAACACAACCAACGCCCCATCAAAAATGGTCCTAATAAATAAGGAACCTATTAAATAAGGTTTAATTATTTAACCTAACAAATAAGATCATCCACACAGCCCCTTCTTACCCACACGATTCTGAAGGTTACTCTGGGAAGGCTGACTTCTGAAACAGCGAGTACGTGGCTGCAAGGCACCTACGTAACACCAGCCTTTACGGGCAAATAACAACATCATAAATTCTGTTATAAGCTTCCCAACCTATTAACTAGGTTGGCTACAGGACTGCGCTGCGCAAACAACGTGCTCAAGCACTGCCTTGGACCCCACGTGGAATACCCTGCAGAAGCCAGGGCAACAATTGATTTTCAGCTGATAAAGTGCTATGATAAACAGGGATCCAGCCTCTGCTAGAACCAGCTGCTTTCTGCTGTTCCTCCACATCGGTTCAGGAGCAAGCACAAAGAGCACACACAAGTTAAGGTTCTCACCGTAATCTACTCTCCAGTTATTCAGCTGAACAGCACTTACTTCTCTGCATTAACTTTTCCAGCCTCTGTCTAGCAAGGAAAGGTATTTCATTAGGAATCAAAAGGAATGAAAAGCAGAGTGAAAGTTGCCTCCAAAGAACTCTAGTGATAGTTTTAAAGTCTCCCCACAGATGAAAAGGAGCTAGCAGCATGACGGCAATGGAGACATCAGCGAAGCAACCCTGTGTCCAATATACCCTGAACACATTTCTGTAAGGTAGCCAGAAGCCCAGAGAAACAGAATGTATTCTTCTTTGAAAAAACCAAACCAAACCCAACCAAACCCAAGAAAAAAATAAACCCCACCCCACCGCCCCCCCCAAAAAAACCCCAAACAAACAAAAAAAACCCAATACGGAAGTGGCAAACCAGGTCAAACAACCCGCTTCATCCAACTATTCTTACCCAATAAAACCATTTTTTATCTCTGTATAAGGGCATTTTATGGAAGTGTACATATATATCTTTATAAGTCCAGTCCTGCAAGCTTTAATGAAACTGCATGAACATTCATACCAAATTATGGATGAGATTGAATCATCATTTAATCATAAAAGATTTAAAGATAAGTGCCAGACGTTTGGAAGACCTATACTCATAATACTTTGAGGCACAGCTTGCGAAGTTTATCTCCTCACCATTTATTTTCCTCTTCTCCAGACCTTCAGGTGGCAATACAAGTATAAAAGCAAACAAACCACAGTTTCCAGCACCGTTTGAAATGTTCTTGCTGAAGAAGGGAAGATGATGCAGCAGTAACTCAGGCAGGCAAAAGGAAAGTTGCAGGATAACACATATACTCACAGGAATTGTGTCTACGGCGGAAGCCTTTGGATTGAGTCAGTGTTTCCACATGTCGATCCATGTAGCTCTTGGAGCACTGCTGCTGTGGAGAGATGATAATATCCTGATTCTTCATGTCCGTTCTCCTTGGGATATTCTGCGGGGCACTGCTGGAGATGGGCTTCTTTAACACTTTCCCAGTGCCATTCTGACTGGGACCCACTTGGCACCCAACACCAGGGATGCCCATTTCTGTCTGCTGCAGGTCCCCACATTGTCTGCTGTCCCCTGGCCCTGGGATCTCCAGAATTTTCAGCTCAGTAATGTCACCTGCCCTAAAAACAGGAAAAGAAAACCAGACATTGAGGAATTTGGCATCCGAGGTACCTTTACAAAAAACAATCCCTAAAGAAAAACATGCAACGTTGTACAGTGGATTTTTTCTGATGCCATTATCAATAGAAACAAGAAAAGAGATTATTTTAATACACAAACACAGAGGATATTTCCACAGACATCAAAATATTCAACTGAAATGGTATGAATCTTCAAAATAACAACTCAAGTATTTCCATACTGCACCTGGATTGTGTTTGAAAGGTTCTGTTCCTAGCTGAAACAGGAATCAGTCAAGCAGAAAATGGAAGCAAGTGGCACAGACCTTTGCAGAAATCTGCATTAATTTAATGGTTTCTAGATAACATAATTAATCTCAGCCTTGAGGCTACTATTACTTTCAATCCATTTCTAGAGAAAGCTACCCTTAGATTAGTGCAATTCACACTCAGACAAGGATGGCGCTTCCTGTTTCCTCAGAAAAAAGATAAAAGAAAACTAATACAGCACTGGGCATGAGCCAAAACGAAACAAAGAAGTGGGTACAAAGACCTCCATTTGCACTGATTGCAAGAAATAAATCGGAAGTTAGGGTCTTCTATTTTAAACTTAGTCAGTGTTTGTCCAACTGGGATATAAAAGTAGCAAGAGCTTGCCACAGACTTCCACACATCTCCTGGAAGAATATGGTCGTCATCTTTCCCCACTCTCTCTCTTCAAAATCCAAGGAAAAAAAAAATTTAGAGTATTGACTTCAGGGAATCAATCTTATTTAAAAATCAGTGACTCAAGAGTCTTAACTATTGTAATATGCCAGATAACAGGAAAACATCCAGTGACAAGCAACTCTCATTTATTCTTTTTAAGCACAGTGTTACCAGAAGCTGGTGGGAACAAACTCCTGAGACCTACAATACTGCTGCATTGATTCAGCTTCTTGGTTGAAAACTCTCTCCTGTCTACACAGAGGAAAGAACGTGGCAAGAGACAGAGGGGATGGAGCTGGATTTAATAACTGCACTTAATTTAATTGTATTGGGGCAATAATTTTAATTGATCTACCACTCCGCTTTCTCTTCTGTCATACTTTAGTTACATATAGTACACATGCTGAGGGCCAAGCTTTAAGAGAGTATGCCAGCCCTCTCAACTACCTGAAAACCAAACAACAGAATGTATACACACAATACATATATATATACTCATACACGTAGCCTCACCCACAAATAACCTCCAAGTGCGAGCTACGCCACTTCTAACACTAGGATCGCAAAGCCAGAAAATAATCTTCTCCACAGAAACTAACAGAAACACGAGAGGCACTTCTCACCCAAAGACGCTCAGTAGCAGTAGGGAGATTTAAGGCAAAGAGACCATTTCTGAGGAGAAACAAAACAAAACATCCAAACCACCACAGACCTTGCCTGGAAAAACACAGGAAGAAAAAAGACAGACACTAACCTGAAGGTGACTTCTGGCACGAGGCACTTGACCCCATTATGGAAGGGCCGTGTCAGGGAAATGGTCTGGCTGACCTGATCCACAGCAGACACTCGTCCTTGGTAGACTCCCAAGCTTTCTCCACAATTAATTGACACAATGCTCCCGAGCCAGTCCGTAGCCATATTTCCGGCACACAATTGCTGTAAAGAGACACAGGCCTGGCTGTAACAAGATGCAGAAACTGACAACCCGAATCAGCATCAACGGCATCCCCCGGCCCACAACCCTGGCTCCCACCCAGGCTCCGGCTTTGTCAGCTTCTCTCTTCTTTGTGGGGTGGAAATAACATCCATACAGACACCGGGGATCACAGCGAGCCTGTAAATCCCTGGATAGGGCTTTGCCTATACGATTGTCTGTAAAACAGATCACCGTTTGAACCATTAAGGAAATAATTTTCTAACTGAATTCAAGACTAACAGCTTCCAACAGCAATATTTAGTATTTAGATCTGTCTGCAGACATTCTCCCTGTACTTTCAAACAGGGAATTTATCTTTACTTCCTTTTTTAAAATTTTGGCCTACGAACACTGGGGCAGAACAGCTTTTTTTTTTTTTTTCTCACTCAGCAGTGAGAAGATTGATCTCTGCACATACAAATGAAAGCCATCACCTTTAAGGGAACAGACAGATACAGAGCGGGGGGGGAAAACCAACACTGGAGACCAGGAGAAAAGTCTTCATGCTCTCCAGAGCCAGGAGTATTATTACTGCCACAATTAGATAAATGAAAAAAGAAAGTTGCGCTCCTTTCCAGCGTAGAGTTCTACCAGAATACAGGGGGGGAAAATGAACTTTGTTTAGTTAGGTGTTCAGTCCCACGTAATTCGCTCAGTTTTGATGCTTGACTGAACTTGTATCAACACACTTTGAAGCAGCTAAGCACATCTTTTGATCTGAGATTTCTTCCTCCAGACAAAGAACACAGGAAGATGACAGACTCACTAGCATCTGGGGAGCGTGAAAGAGCTGACAAGCTCGTAAATGAAAATTACTACAGTATATATTTGCCTTTCATGCTGTAATCAACAGTAAGAGGGAGAACACTTGATATTTACTATAAGGACACAAAGACAAAAAGCACAGGAGATAACCCAGGAAGATTAACATCAACATACAAACCACATTTCTGTGAGAGTCATTTTAATTCTCTTCAAGCCCTTCCTGTCCTGAGCTTCTTGGAAAAAGATGCAAGGAAAAAACACCTGGAAATAACTAGGATGCATGCATGCTACCAGAACTAACTCACTTCCCCCAACTTTCAGTGGACTGAGAACAGGGGATGCTTCAAAGGGAAGCAAACACTAAATTTGGTCACTAAGCTGTAAATTCGTCAGGACCAGCCCCCTCTCTTTCCTGTTCCTGTGTATTTATATTAACCCATGATAACAATGTCTGGGTTCCAAGACGATGGCCGATAAAAAGCACTTTCAAAACACAGATAACACATCCCCGAGTATCTGCAGTAAAACTAAAATTTCATTCCCTTTCCTGCTTTTTGTATCTCTTTTTGAAAACAAGGAAGAGTTCAGTACACATCACAAGAATCACAAGAATCCTTTTCAAAAATAAAAGCCTCCTTTTACCAAGGAAAAAGCCCATAAAATCCATGTTTGCATGCAAACATAAACCAAAACAAGGGAAACTCCTCATCTCAAAGGATCTCATTCTACTACTTTGTGTGCAAATCATTTAGAGAAGGAATGAACTACACATGCAGTGAATGATTTACTACACCACACGTGAGAAACACGAGCACGTTTGTTTGTTTACATACACCTGGAAAGTCAAACCTCCTGTCTAATATTCTGTCTTATATTCCACGTTTTTGTCATACAACTCGCAGATATCTTATATTCCCCCACATCTCTTATTTCAAGTGTATATTACTGATGTTCCTGCAAGTTTTAAAAGAAACTCAAGTCACAGAGCTTACTCAAACATGCATGCAGCACTTAATAAACACAGTTTGTAAGCGATAACTTAGCATGTGATGAGTCGATAGCTTTGCATGCTGGGCACTGCTGCTTGACCAGAAAGATGCCACTATGCATGTTCTCCCTATCTGAAGGACGAGTTAGCACGGAGGTGGTTTCCCTCATTTAGGAGGGAAGCAGCCACCGAGCCTACCCGCCCTGCACCTGAGAGACAAGCTGGCACGGGATATATGCTCCCAGCAGGTCTCGTCTCCCCGGGCTGGATCAGGGTGGGCTGCCTCCAACCTGATCCCCACAGGAAAACATAGGCCCCCCACACAGGTAAACACAGGGCCCCCA